TTATTCTATATGAAAATAATATAGTGATAGCACCTTTCTTCTGGCTAGTAATTATCTGGGATTCTTTTTCCATCATTTACTTTCATCGTGGCTGTGTCTTTAAGTATAAATCTTTAGAGAGCACATTACTGAAATTTTAAAAATCCAGTCTGGCCACTTCTGTCTTTTATTTGGAGAGTTTACTCCATTCACATTCACTGTGACTACTGGCCATCTGAATTTATTTCACTTCATTCATGCATCTGAGACTACCCATTTGATTTTCCTTCTGTCTCTTTTTAGCTTGTCTGTCTCCTTAATTCCTTCAGGAGGTGTATACTGAGCAATTACTATCTTGCAAGCACTATTCTAGATATTGAAGATTGGAGCTGAAGGAGATAAAGACTCTTGCTCTCAGAGAGATTACATTCTAGTGGGAGGGCACAGACAATGAATAAGTATATAATTGAACACATAAATAGACAGTAACGAAAATATTTTAAAAAGTTATGTTCTATTCTTATTGTCCTTACTCTTCTCAGAAGCTCATTTTTCTTCCAAGGCTATAGGAGTAGGTTTGTAATGGGTCTCTCCTGTATCACCATCTTTTCTAGTCCGTCTGCCTCACTAATATTCTCATGTTGTGATTTAAATATTATGTTTCCTAGCTTAAAATCTTTAACATTGCCCTCTTGGATACTTCATACAGCAAAAATACCTTAGCCCAACATTCAGAATCCTCTACAAAATGGGATCAACCTACATTTTCTAGCTCTTTCTTCAATAAAAATATAGTGAAATATACCTATACAACTTAGAAATATAGCAATAGAAATATAGGGAAATATAGCTGTCCCACTTAGTTCAACTGATGAGTAAAAGTTTATCTTGCTTGCTAGGGTGAGAATGATATGAAAAAGAAATGAAAGTGTGGAGAAGAAGAGGAAAAGACTAGAAAATAATTACTTTAGGAATAAAATGCTAAGATCGCCTTAGAATTTTAGGAAAATTATTAACACATTAATTTGACATTTTTTAATATACATGTATGGAGCCCCCTGCTATATGCCAAGCACTGTGCTAACCCCAGGGACTATAAAGACAAATAAGACTTAATATTTGCCTTCAAGGAGCTGAAGCTTTGTGAGAATAAGATAAATAAACAGATAATTAGGGAAAATGTACTAAGTGTTCTGACAGAAGGATCTGTAAAGTGTAACTAGAGAACTCAGGCAGGAGGCTCGGTAAAGGTTTCAGGTGAATTAGCTCTTCTACTGAGAAAACAGCATGAGTGCTGAGAAAGGCAGGTCTTCATGCTTTCAGAGCATGTTAGGCCTCTTTTACTTGCAGATATTATGGTGATAAATCGGTAATAATTAAAATAGTATTAATGTCACACCCTAGAATTATCACCATCTTTTGCATATACTGATTTAAAATATTTCATGAACTTTTGGTTAAACATAAGACAGCAAATGCATGTTGTTATTTATTCCTCACCCTTGAAAATCACACTAAAACTTATAAACCCTTAAGGATGAAAAGGAGAGAAGAATATACCAGATAAGTTATATCAAAAAAATTTATAAATGTTATAATGTAAATGGATAAGTAGTAATTGCTTAGCAAACCAGATAAAGCTGAAGCCTCAATCTGTTTGTGTTTTTTTTTTTTTTTTTTTTTTTTGAGACGGAGTTTCACTCTTGCTACCCAGGCTGGAGTGCAATGGCGCGATCTCAGCTCACCGCAACCTCTGCCTCCTGGGTTCAGGCAATTCTCCTGCCTCAACCTCCTGAGTAGCTGGGATTACAGGCACGCGCCACCATGCCCAGCTTCAGGGTTTCACCATGTTGACCAGGATGGTCTCGATCTCTTGACCTCGTGATCCACCCGCCTCGGCCTCCCAAAGTGCTGGGATTACAGGCTTGAGCCACCGCGCCCGGCTGAAGCCTCAATCTGAATTGAAGAAAACCAGTAGGAAACTGCCAGTTTTACCTCAAGAGCCCAAAGAGATCTTCCCTTCAAGCTAGAGAAACCGAAAGGCCCAGGGAATACATGCACATAAAGATTTAGACTCTCTCAATTAAAAAGCCATATTACCACTTTATCATACTAATAAACTACACCTATCAAGATACCCCATTATAAAGACTTCCCAAATAATTATTTGGCTCTTACTCTTAAATATAGAGAAATAGTCAAGGATCCCTCAACCTGTGGAGAAATCTTCTAATATGAAAGAGAAAAACCAAAACATAGAATCTGGAATCTGAATGAGGTTTCTGGAAAGAAAGTCGGGTTTCTGGTGAGAAATACTAAAAGTTGAAGACTTTTACAGAATAAAGATATTCTGGTATATTCAAGTCCACAAAAATTTACTTCCTCAGTATTCTTGTCAGAAACTTTCTGGAAAATGAACTCCACTGCCAAGTTGACAGTAAGAAAGACGTCAGGAAAGAGAAGGACATCGGGAAAGAGAAACAGAGCACCAAGAAAGACACCAGGAAAGAGAAACAGCTCAGGAAAAAAATAAAGGGAAAACCTCAGAATGGTGGTGAGGGCTCTAGAATGGACACCTTCAGCAAACAATAATGTCTAAAAATATTGAAAGTAAAACCAATTCACTCAACATAGATACGGCTATCAAAACCAGGAACACCTTCAGAAGGGAAGCTCAGTATAGATGATGTATTCACATGGAAAAATAGAGAGGGCTGAAGAATAAGCACACACATTAAGAAAGGAAGAAAATTTGAAAATTGGAAAAGGTAACTCAGTGTGTTCAATAAGACCTGTTATAAAGGAAACTCTAGGAAAGGAAATATTTAAATTCAACTCCACTGACAAAGTTTTGCTAATTGATTTATTTGAAAAGTTCCTGATATACACTGACATACTTCTTCATTGACAGCTAGATTATGTAGAAGGGGTTTTTGCTTATTGGAGATGTCATTGGTACCTTACTTTAAATACTGAAATAAATGTCATTGATGTGCCTCTTTCTTAAAAGTTGTGACAAAAAATAAGAAAATGAATTGCCATGTTTATCCTCCTAAAGTTAAGGCTGGCTGAAAATTAAAATTTGTACCAAAACTACAAGGTCCCCTGAGACTCACCAGAAGTCTTACAATACAACTCAGGCTATTTTGAGTGGCTATGCCCTGCAACAATCTCTAATTGGTATGTGTAATAAAACCTAAGCTATATAAGTAAAACAAAATTTTGGGGGAAGCTTAATGATTTTTTTTTTTTTTTTTTTTGAAATGAAGTCTCACTCTGCTGCCCAGGCTGGAGTGCAAAGGCACAATCTCGGCTCACTACAACCTCAACCTCCGAGGTTCAAGTGATTCTCCTACCTCAGCCTCCTGAGTAGCTGGGATTACAGGCACCTGCCACTATGCCCAGCTAATTTTTGTATTTTTAGTAGAGACGGGGTTTTACCAGGTTGGCCAGTTTGCTCTTGAACTCCTGACTTCAGGTGATCCACCCACCTTGGCCTCCCAGAGTGCTGGGATTATAGGCATGAGCCACTGCACCTGGCCCAGTATTCTTAATTAAAAAATAATTATGCCTGTAATTCAAACACCTGAAGTCAGGAGTTTGAGACAAGGCTGACCACATGATGAGACCCCATCTTTACTAAAAACACAAAATTAGCCGGGCGTAGTGGTGCACGCCTGTAATCCCAGCTACTCAGGGGGCTGAGACAGGAGAATCACTTGAACCAGGAGGTTGAGGTTGCAATGAACTGAGCTGGCACCATTGCACTCCAGCCTGGGCGACAGGAGTGAAACTACATCTCAAAAAAAAATTAAAAAATTAAAAATATAAAAATAAAGAATACTATATTTCCATTCCTACAGGAAAAATCAGCAAGGGTAAAAAGAAACAGCCTATTCTTAACTTCATTCTAGCTCACCTCAAACCTTCTCAAAGCACTTCAAACTTACTAGCTCATAAATTAAAAACTTCATCAGGAAGCCAGGCAGGTTTAGAAAACTGACCATCCACTTTGGGTCAATCTAAAGTGGAGAAAGGAAATTATATTGTGGGCTAGGAATGCCTAATAGGTTCAGGGTCCAGCTAACAAGTAAAATGGATTTATTTATTAAAAAAAAAATAAGCTACCTCTTTTTATCAAATGAAACCTCTTTAATTTACATTAAATTAGTCAAAGTATGCTTTTTACCTAATTTTAATAAATTTAATAAACTTATTCAGCCCTCTTCCTGTTTTCAACAAACTAAGCAAATGCTCATCTAAGAACAATGAAAACTCAGTAATTACTGTTAATTAACTCAAAATTTATAAACTTATATCTGAAGTCATTATCTGAATTCCTATAAATGAAAATATTAAAATTTAACTTTAATATAAAATTTAATTTTTCACCAGTGGGAATATCATCTTCTCTTCAAATTGACCCACCCCTCCAAAACAAGAATAACCATTGTAACAATGCTTACATGGTTCAACTATATACAATGTCAAAATTAGTTTTCTGAGGTATTAAAAGTTGTCACTTGTGTATATAACTACCAGCTTCACTAACAAGCTTTCTAAAGTTTTGGATTTCTTTTGATGTGATAATGACCTAACCTAAAGAGGCAGAGAGAAGGAATCCTAAATATGTTACCTACTTAAAATCGAGTAAAAGCAGTACTAGTGTGTAATGGGAAAGTTTCATATGTAAAAAAATATATATATCATCTATCATTTGGTAGTATTTAAGTTATTTGATAACTACCTTGGAAAAAATTTTTTTTTTCCTCTCCAAGTTAAAATTCTTGCATTTTATTTAAAGTCATGTTCATCAAAGCCTTTTCTGGGGCAAGGAATGAGCCTACACAAATAAGACAATTCCGAGAAAGATATTTTCTAACATCTCGACAAAAATTATCCTTCCTTTCTCATCCTGGAACTACAGAGTGAATTCATTCCAATACACTAACCTTTATGAAATCATTTTTTAAGAAACCCTCAACAACAGTAAAATTGCCTCATTATTACAGTGTACTCACACTTTTTGTGCATAGGTCCAAGACATAAGAAGTCAAAACCACCTCTGATGCCTTCTGACAGATTGGAGATGAACCAGATTCCACAGGGTGTACACGCCAAGGACATCTAGAAGCCAAATGACAAAAAATTAACATCTCCAGATTCTGTCTGTGCAGACACAGGAGCAACACAGATTTATAAACTCTGAATGTATCATCAAGAGAATTAAGTCAAACGCAGCTTTGTTCTCTTTCAAGATTTCATCAAAAATAGCATCATATCCTAAAAATTGGGTTTATATATCAAAAACTAACTCATTTGTAATTTGTTTATGTTAGCCTTGGTTTTTATTTCAAATGGGACAGAATCTCAGACAGGGTGTTGACTTTTTAGGGAGCTTTTGTTCAAATGTTTTGTGAATTTTATAGCTAGAACTTTAACTCATTTGTGGAAAGAACATCTTAAGGTCATCTGAGTCAAGCTTTAGGCAAGTGTCACCTCGGTTGAAGTTAAATCTCCTAAATGTAAAATAGAGCTAAAACTATCATCTGCAACTTGGGGATATTAGGATGAAATTTAGCATAGTACCTGACACATAGTATTTTTTAAATGTGAGGTTTATCATTTTAATTATTATTCTCATTTATTCAAAATTTATATACTTCTAAAAACTACCTTTTTTTAATTAATGGAAGCAGTTATTGTAGAAGATTGCTCCACAGTCAAAAGAGGAAGGCAGGACATTTTAATGGTGAGCAAAAGAACTTTCAATGAGCTCAGGAAACTACCTTAAAACCTACAGCAACAGTAATTACCAGAGTCTCCAAAAACAAAATTAAAACAATTCTATAGCACCATGTCACATCTCATAAGGGTAGCAAGACCACATATTAGATGCTGCACTGTATCCTTTAATTCTCTCTCCCTTATGCAATGTCACTGTATGAGTACAGCAGATGTCTTAGTTCTATCTCTGCCTGCTTTTCCCACAAATCAGGGCCAAAGATAGTGTCTATGAGAAACTTATTTGAAAATGTAACCTTGGGAAATATGATCAAGAGATAAGAAAAATTAAATCAGATGAGGGTGAATATAGCCTACTTAATATAATATATATTCATCTGATTCTCATCTGATGAATATTCATCTGTTGAAGTAAATACATATTACTCCTCATCTAATGAAGTAAATATATATTATATTAAGTAGGCTGTATTATCAAGTTGGTGTCATTATGAGCAACTGATTGTTTAATCTGGTCAGACCTTTGAGAAACCTTTTGAAACTGATATCAGAACCATGTCTCCAGATAAAGAAAAGAGAAAGCAATAACTCATAGTTTCTATTCCCCAATGGTCAAGGATCACTCTGTATGTTGTTACTTTTGTTGCATTTCTAAGTTGTTCACATATGACTGTCAAACAGATTGCTACAGGTGTTCTCATGCCATGCGTTGGTAAGGAACTATTAGTTTGAATCAGTGTGGAATAAATCAAAGAGTACATACAACTGATAAAAACAGCCATAGTTGAAATTAATGTTGAGGATTTAAAATGATGCAAAAGAGTTTGACATATAAGAGTCAATGTAAGATACCACATTAATAAAATGAAGCTGGCAAATACATGATCATCTCCAGTGGTGCAGAAAAGGGATTTTACAAAATACAACATCCTTTCATATAAAAACATTAAGCTGGGAATAAAAAAACAAGTTCCTCAAAATGATAAAAGGCATTTGGGAAAAACCCACATTATATTCAAAGATAAAGGATGAAAGTTTTCATACTAAGATCAGGAACAAGACAATCATATCCACTTTCATCATTTCTGTTCAACATTGCCCTGGAAGCTCTAGCAACGACAATTAGGCAAGAAAAAAAATGGAAGGCATACAAATTGGAAAGAAGAAACAAAATTATTTCTTTTCAGAGATAGCATGGTTTTATATACAGAAAAGTCTAAACAATCAACAAAAGCAATTAGAGCTAATAAGTGTGTTCATCAATGTTTTAGGATAAAGATCAGTTATATTTCTATATACTAGCAATTAACAATGTGAGAATGAAATTAAGAAAACAATTTTATTCATAACATCATCAAAAATAATAAAATATTTAGGAATTAATTTAACCAAGGAATTCCAAGACTCATACACTGAAAATTCCAAAACATTGCTAAAAGAAGTTAAAAGGCCTAAATAAATAGGAAAACCTTCCATTTTGTTAATTGGAAGACTTATTATTAAGATATTAATACTACCCTAGGCATTCTACTGTCTAGGTGCAATCCTAGACAAAATCCCAATTACCTTTCTTTGCAAAACTGGAAAAGCTATTCCTAAAATTCACAAAATAATGCAAGTAAATATATATGTACCCAACACTGGAGCATCCAAATACATAATGAAAATACTATTAGAGCTAAACAGAGGGTAGATGCCACTGAAATAGAAGCTGGAGACCTCAACTCCCCACTTTCGGCATTGGACAGATCTCCCAAACACAAAATCAACAAAGAAACAATAGTCTTACACTGCAATAAACTTAAACTGCCCTATAGAGTGAATGATCCTAATAGATATTTACAGAACATTTCACCCAATGGCTGCAGAATACATGTACTTTTCCTCAGCACATGGATCATTCCCAAGATAGACCATGTGCATGTGTCAGGTCACATAAGAAGTCTTAAAACATTTTTTAAAATTGAAATAACATCAAGCACCTTTTCTGAATACATGGAATAAAACCAGAAATCAATAAAAAGATGAATTTTGGAAACTATAAAAAGCACATGAAAATTAAGCAATATGATCCTGAATGACCAATGGGTCAATGAAGAAATTAAGAATGAAATTGAAAAGTTTCTTAAAACAAATATTAATGGAAGCAAATGTAGCAAAACCTATTGGATACAGCAAAAGCATTACTAAGAGGGCAGCTGATACCTATAACTGGCTACATTAAAAAAAAAAAGGAAAAGTTCCAATAAGCAACCTAATTATACAACTTAAACAACTAGAAAAGGAAGAGTAAACCAAACAAAAAATTAGTCAGAAAAAAAGAAATAATAAAGATCCGAGAAAAAATACGTCAATTTGAAATGAAAACAACAAAAGATTAATGAATTTTTTTTAAAAAAGGTAAACAAAATAGACAAACCTTTAGCCACACTACATAGGAAAAAAAAGACTCAAACAAAATCGGAGATGAAAAAGGAGACATTACAACTAAGTACAGAAATTCAAAGTATCATTAGTTGCTACTGTGAGCAACCATATGCCAATAAATTGGAAAATCTAGAAAAACGGGACAAATTCCCAGACAAATACAACCTACCAAGATTGAACTCTTAAGAAATACAAAACCCGAACAGACCAACAACAACTAATTAGAATGAAGCTGTAATAAGAAGTCTCCCATCAGAAAAGGAAAAAAAGCCCAGGACCTAATGGCTTCACTGCTGAATTCCACCAACCATTAAAAAAAGAACTAATACCAATCCTATTAAAAGTATTCCAAAGAATACAGGAGAAGGGAATACTTCCAATCTCATTCTATGAGACCACTATTACCCTAATACCAAAACCAGACAAAAATACATCAAATAGAGAAAACCCTAGGCCAACATCACTAATCAATATTGATGCAAAAATCCTCAAAAATATACTAGCAAGGCAAATTCAACAATACATTTTAAAAATTATTAATCATGACCAGGTGGGATTTATCTTAGGAATGGAAGGCTGGTTCAACATATACAAATCAACAATGTGATACATCACATCAACAGAATGAAGGATAAAAACCATATAATCATTTCAATTAATGCTGTCAAAGCATTTGGTAGAATTCAATACTGCTTCATGATAAAACCTCTCAAAATTTGGTGATAGAAGGAACAAACTTCAATATAATAAAAGCCATATACGACAGACCCACAGCTAGTATCATAGCAATAGGAAAACTAAAAGCCTTTCCTCTAAGATCAAGACCATGAAAATGATGCTCACTTTCACCATTGTTATTCAACATAGTACAAAAAGTCCTAGCTACAGTAATCAGACAAGAGAAAGAAATAAATGGCATCCAAATTGGAAATGAAATCAGATTATCCCTGTTTGCAGATGATAGAACCTTATATTTGGAAAAAACAAAGACGCCACCAAAAAACTATTAGAATGAAAAAAAATTCAGTAAAGTTGAAGGATACAAAATCAACATACAACAATCAGTAGCATTTCCATATACCAATAGCAAACAATGTGAAAAAGACATTTAAAAAGTAATCTCATTTGTAATAGCTACCAATAAAATAAAACACCTAGGAATTCACTTAACCAAAGAAGTAAACAATCTCTAAAACAAAAACCATGAAACACTGATGCAAGAAATGAAAAAGACACCAAAAAAATGTAAAGATATTCCATTTTTATGAATTAAAAGACTCAATAGTGTTAAAATAACCATACTACCCAAAGCAATCTATAGATTTAATGCAAACTCTATCACAATACCAATGGCATTCTTCATAGAAATAGAAAAAAAAAATTCCTAAATTTTATACAGAACCACAAAAGACCAGAATAGCCAAAGCTATCCTGAGCAAAAAACAAAATTGGGGGAATCACATTACCTTACTTCAAATTATACTATGGAGCTGTAGTAACCAAAACTTGCTGTTTGCTATGCAACACAGACACATAGATCAGTGGAACAGAATAGAGAACCAAGATATAAAACCCATACATTTACAGTGAACTCATTTTTGACAAAGGTGCCAAGAATATACATTGGGGAAAGAAATAGTCTCTTCAATAAATACTGCAGAGAACGCTAGATTTGCAGAAGAATAAAATGAGACCTCTATTTCTTGCTTAAAATCACAATGGAAAAAAAAGACTTAAATCTTAGGCCTCAAACTATGAGACTGCTAAAAGAGAACACGGGGGGAACTCTCCAGGATTATGGTTTGGGCAAAGACTTCTTGAGTAATACCCCACAAGCACAGGCAACCAAAGCAAAAATGGACAAATAGCATCCCATCAAGTTAAAAACTTCTTCATACCAAAGGAAACAATCAACAGAGTGAAGAGACAACCCACAGAATCAAAGAAAATATTTG